TATATTGTATGTATTTATGTATGTACTTATATATATATAAATATATTAATAGATGTATAAAAATTGTAGAAATATACATCTAAGAATACAAACACGATTGATGTTACCCACCTCAGTATGCATGCGGAGTAGTTTATAAGCGCACTTTCAACCGCAGCATTTGCGTCTTCCGAAAAAACCGAAGTGACTATGGCTGCAGCGCCGGTCGTGAAGGGAATTGTCCCGGCCAGTCCTAAACGACAGAAAGAGGACAGGTGAGCGCATGAGGCAGAAGCCCTTGAAGCCCTAAAGCCCTAAAGCCCTAAAGCCCCCTAAAGCCAATTTATTACAACATTTGGTTAATTCGTCCCGTTGTACAGAAAACAGTCCCACGCAGTCTCAATGGTAAATAAGCCGAGTGTAAATGCCAATTGAATGGCGAAGAGGGACGGGGCACCAAACATCGTGTGTGTCTATATAGTGTTGTGTTGAGATATGATCATAACACCATGTAATACACCCAGAATAAATGCACCATTGTAATTCACAATACATGCATACCCAGAATAAGTGCACTCTACCTACGCACGCACTCAGTATAAATATCTTATAAGTACACCTGTGCACATATCCACAATAAAAGCATTAACAGGATATCTATACACATACCCAGAATAAGTACACTCTACCTACGCACATACCCAGTACAAAGACCTTATAAGTACACCTGTACACATATCCACAATAAAGGCATTATAAGGCTATCTATACACATACCCAGAAGAAGCGATGGTCTAGGTATCGACTTAAACTCCAACGTACGCCACGAGAACGGTTTCCTAGGTGCTTTGGGCATGCTCAGATATTGTGTACTCTCCTCTGACCCGATTTTTAGGGCGTCTATCTTTGGGACACTCGCCGGCGGCTTTGAGAGTTCGCCCGGGTGAGTGTGGGTAGGCGGTTGCCGGTTGGATAAGCTCTGTGTGGGTTCAAATTTTCCAGGGTTTTAGGGATTTAGGGTTTAGGAGTTTAGGGTTCTAAGGTTTAGGTTTATATTAGTGGGATGGGGCAAAGGAAGGTCGTGCACGCGTGTAGAGACTAAATGGGCGAGGATAACGTGATACCTTCTATGCACGCGCATCGCACTTTGTACTGTATATTTTTTGTATAAAAACGTTACATATGTACATGTTTATGAAATGATATAGAAAACATTCACAAATGCGAATTTAAATTATCTACAATACACAGATATACAACACATAACAATATCCGCACATATTTATAAAATGGCTAAAACGCATTCAACAGAATTAAATTCACAAGATTTGTATGTCTGTTTGCGATGTACAAAAATGACCAGCATGAAATGTGGAACTAAAAAACGGGAATACGACGAGCATGAGAGGACCAACACGTACACTTCCTCAACTCACAACCCCAGGCAACTTCACATACAATGACATGCATCGCTGGCTAAAAATAATAATAACTACTGTAGTTATAATATATATATATATATGTGTGTGTGTGTGTGTGTGTGTGTGTGTATGTATCTATAT